TTACCTTTGTTTTTTTCATGTTTCAGATGTTTCTTCTCAATTGTTTTTTCTAGCAAGAAAAAAAGTAGCACAGTTCAAGGTTAGTAAACTGACTATGGAACAGATTATTGCCTAGAGTGTTCAAGTAATATTCTTTGAAAATTAACACAGACCTTGTATGGTTTGTTTCAAATAAAAATCCATGTAAAAAGTTTTAATCTCATACTGTTTTAAATGTGATCTTCTACATATGCATGCACCCACAGAGTAAATTCATACCTTCTTTTTCCTTAGCTGTCTTTGTTTTTTTCATAGCTAGAAAGATTTGCAAGGAAAGAACATTAGGTGACAATCATCAGAAATATGGTACTCTTACAAAAAGTACATTGCACAAAGCTGATCTCCTTAGTAATTTCTCTGGAATAATAACTATGGTAAATGTGTCTCATGGCATGTATACAAGGTACCTAATATTACTACAGTGGCTGCTGCCCTTAGTGGCAGTAGTAGTTATAGGCTTTCTGAACAGTCACTGGAAATTGTTTGGATATTGCTGGTTGCAGAGTAGTTTGGAAACTCCTGATAAAGGCTTTAGGCACTAGAATTCTGTAATTCCCTAAGTACTGCCAGAATTCCCCAATTATTGGTGGCCAAAATATGTTATGTAAGGATCCTTCTACTTGATGCCTGCTTTTTACATTTTTTCCTGGATAAATCTCAGGCATCTGAAACAAAAAAAAACAGATCCCTACCCACGCACCCCAGAATATGGAACTAGATGGATGTTTAGAAGCTTCAAACGTGATCGTTCTGAAGTACTACAGCAGTAGGTTCTGATTTTTTATTTAGTTTATTTTTCTCTGATTGTACAGTCACTTAGAACACAGGCTTTTTTTCTTTTTGGCATCCTTTTCCCCAGCCTGCAAACACAGACATTTGGTCTGTGACTCCATTCAGCAAGGCAGATTGAAATTAAGTAAGGTGCATTGCTTCAGGCATCTGAGCCCATTTCAGTATTCCCTGTTGACTGCAGCAGAAAACTGGCAGGCTGCCTTTGTATTGTTCATTTGCACTTCATATCTTCCCACCAGTTGTAATAATGCTTTGTTCAGTGTCTTCTGATGCATGTGTTATCTGATTAACACTAGCTTACTCAGTGCTGATCACCTGTGTCTAGCCCACCAAAACATGCTGCAGAAGATGAACAGTAAAATAATGTAATAACCAATCAGAACAGTCTTTGGTAGAGAACTGTGCAGCTGCAATGCTGTCAGTTTAACAGTGCTGGTTTACATTAGCATTGTTCATTGTTGATGAACAATACGTATAAATCAGTACTGGTATGTTCATTAATTCTTTTCATAAGAATACCGGAGAAATGTAGTATTTACCTGCTGTTGGGATTTTACCTGTTGGCTCTCCAGGAAAACAAGCAGAAATGAAGAAGAAGGGGGAAAGGAAAAGAATATGAAGTTCAGTACCATGGTTTTTCAAGGCAAGTAACCGTTTAAATAGATCTCTTTAATCTGCAACTTTTCTGCAGTGTATTAATTTTCAAAGACATGTGCCTTAACAATGGGCGTGTACACAGAATTTCACACTGAAAGCTGATTCTCACTCTTTGAAGTACTATAATCCAGCATGCGATGGTTTCTGCAAATGCAAACACTGTGCCAAGCAAAGCTTTCCAGCAAGCAAATATTTAGATTTATTTTTAAATGCACATTCAAGGTTTGAGCTGATTGCGTTACTTTCCACAAAATGTATTCAGTTTGTTACCTCTCTTTTCTTATAACCCACATGTCCCAACCAAAGACTGGCACTGACCTTGAATACCCGGCAATCACCCCTCTATACTGTTTTTCCTGCATTATCAGTTCGCCTTGCCTTTCAAAATAAAAGCTCTTGAGATCTAGAAAAATTTTGTCTACATCTTCGCACAGCACCTAGCAAAAAAGTATAATATATTCCTGTGCTCTTGTAATGCCCATAATAATTAATGAAAATCAATTAATTGATTAATTCAATGGGATAGAAATTCTCTGGTATAAATCACATTACTCTTTTTAAATCAAAGGATTAATTAAATCGTGATTTAGAATCCAAGATTTTTTGTACGTATCACTAATTCACTAATCACAGTTACGTTTTAGAATAAAATTTAAAGGGAAGAGAATAACCTCACTAGCCAGGCAAAACCTTTATTCTTTGAACCTAGAGCTGGATAAAAAAAAAACCTCAGGGTGTCTTTTGATTGAATTATCGATATTTTCTTCATGCTGAGTTTTGTCTTCAGATGAATGGGAACTTCTGCAGCTCACACCAAGGTGAAAATGATTAAATGCGTTTTTCAACAGAAAGGCTGAACAATAAAGCATGTTTTTCACTAACACATCCCAGGAAACTTTCATTCAGGTCTTCATTCATAAGGAGACTCATAAATACCAGTGCTCAATACTTCAGCATCACAGGCATTCAGCAAAGACCAGTTTTGCTTCTGTTGAAAGCCCATATGCTTAAGTTCTTTAATATTTACATTTCTGCTTATGATGATGCTTAGTTACTGAAAGCTGATACATTACTGCATTGTGACCCATAGTGACCTATTCTCATTTTTCAGAAGAAAAAAGTAAGAGATTTGTCTGAGGCACTAAACCTGAGAAAGGCGTTCATGTTATCATTCCTTAACTGAGGGGTTATCTGGCTGAGCGATCTGGACTGGCCCAGTTATATGCATATATTAATATTCTAATTAAGGATAAATGATTGATTACCTTAGACAGTGAGGTTCTGGAAGACTGTGGACCTGCAGGGTAGTTAGTCTGACCCTCTGACCTGTATAAGGGTCATTTCTTCTCTCAGTGCATTAACAAACTTCCATTTACCCTGAGGGCTTTGGGAAACATTTTACCTCTATCACTGGACATTCATTATAGAACTAAATGGGAACAGAGTTTAGCCAATGCTTAGTTTTTTTCTAAAAATAGCAGACTACATGTTCTTCCTCTTGATTGTAAAGTATGGTTTGGCAATACTTTTGCATGAGTAAGATATTGCACTATTTTTTGTCCTCTGTTCAAGATAACCTCGCAAAATTTGAGAGTCTTTAGTCAGTATGCAGGGAGTAAATTCTGAGTTTCATTAGACTTTCAAATTTGATATAGAACCAATTGCACTCAAAGACCCTCCTGCTTACTAAAACAGAAATAATAAAAAATAAGATAGTTTACTAGTTGCTTTTATAATTGAGCAAGCAGCTGTGTGGTGTTTAGCTGCCTGCTATTTTAAACCATGAGAGCAGGTTACTATAAAAATGTATTGGTTGTTAATCTGGGGACTTTTCAAACTCAACCTTTTATTTCTGTTTTTAACATGTCATTCACTTAATGTTACAATATCTCTACTGATTTAAACCCCATTTGCTTTTACTGTACAAATCATCAGGGTACAATGTGTGAATGAATTTGGTCCTGAATTAATGTATGGATTTATTTTACCTTCTACTAGACCTGAACTGCAAAATCAGTGAGTATTTTGTCCATGGCTACATCTCGTACTGGATTACATGGTATCTATGTGCATGTTATGACAAGTATAAGTACACCTAGCTAGGAAATATATGGAGCAAAGCTATGTAGAGCTCTAGAAATAAAGAAGGCAGTGATCTAACCAAGTGTTATTATTTGAGTGGAAAAAAGCAATTTAAAATAGATGTCTCTGGTGCTTAAAATCCTGGACTAGATTTATTCAAAGATGGTTAGCTCAAAATAGGCATTGTAAACAGAATTACTTTTGTATATGATCATAGGTCTGCTTGTTACTGTTTTTTCTTTTTTCATTTTTTTCCTTTTATTTTTCTAAAGGCACTGTTAACCTTTATAATTATCTCAAGCAGCAGAATATAAACTCAAGAATGTCGTACAAACATCCCTCTGCAAAGGTCAAGGGAAAATATCTTGGCTGTTCCTTATATTCACAATATGCCAGAGTAATACAGCTCTTGACAAAAAAGCATTGTAGACAATGATTTTGGATTAAAATGTTACTTATTGCAGAAAGCATGAGAAATTAGTCAAATCTCTGACAGTTCTCTAATACTAAAGAGTGCCATCAGGGGGTTTCTCAGACAAGTCAGTGTAGAAGACAAAAAAGTCAGTGAACAGATCTGGTGAATACAAAACTGAAAAAATCTGAATAATGGAGTCAAATAGAAGAAAATTTACTTAAAATACTGTCAAAATTGGAAATAAACCCACCAATTACTTCAAAGGAAGTGATAATTTTGCAATAATAATTTGAAAACTGAAAACTGCAATTCAAGATTGTGGGATATCTTGCAGTACCGGCATATTTCAGATCCTTTGTGTTCCTTCTTTCCCTTTGAAGCTGGGGTTCAGAATAGCACTGCGTCTTCTGACAGGTGGTTAAGGGTGGGTATTCATCTTGTCTAACTTCAAGTACCTGACATAGGAGACCAATTTAGGAATCTTAATGGGAGCATTTTTCCTTGCCTTGTTGTCAGCTTCTGATCTGGAGCAGGAAGAGGTATGTGTCTCATGGGGCTTGGCCTTGGTTTTGGATACATTTTGTAGATTACTTTGCATCAGAATAACACATGATTTGGTCTTGATGCGCCAGGCATAGTACATAAAAGGAAACAGATCTCTTGTGCTGACAAGGCTACAACTAATTAATCTGTGAAGGTCCCTACTTCACCATTTTCACAATTCAAAGCATGCAAAGTGTTTACATTCTTTACATTTACTGTTCTTTTGATTGTTGTCTGATTATGATTTCCAGTATGTAATGTGTAATGAATCGCCATAATAAGCATAGACCTGTCTTTTTCTGTTCAGATAACCTTAACAAGGACATTATCCAATGACTTCAATGAAAGTCTTTGTTATGAAAGAAACTCCCCTTGAATTCTCCTTAAAACTTGTCTAAACCAGAAACATTCCTTTCTCTAATTTAATTTAGTTTTTTATAAAAGTAGGAAAAAAAAGCATATTGAAACAAGGCCAAGAATGTGCTTAGTGAATTAATAAAATAAGTAATTTTCAAATGGTAAAATAAGTAATGAAAAAGTTGTCTAATTCAGTTATTCTACATGCCATTTTGTTATTTCTAACAAACAATATGTTTGCATAAAGATAAGTCATATGTCTTTTAGTGTGTTTTTATAGAAAGCGAAAATAGCAAACAGAGTTTGAATGTTGCAGTCACAATATTAAATTATAGGTTTACTTTGGGTGTGTTCAGTGTTATTAAGCAGATGGAGTACAAAAGCATCTGTAGTGCAAGCAAGAAAGTACCGTTTTGCAACATGACAAAATTGCAAAAATGCAAATTGAGACAACATGCATCTGAAAAAAAGATTTATATTCCATGGGAAACAAGACATGACACGTACTCGCAGTGTTTTTCAGTTTGACTGGGAATTTAAAAGAGGGAAAAAAAATTAGAATAGATTAAGGTGCAGAATAGTCAGATACAGGATACAGCATAATACTGTTACAGTGACTAATGGCTTTATTTGTTCTATCTTATTTACTGCATATCAAAACATAATATTTAGTAACCTCTTAGTAATTAATAACAATCGAATGATGGATAATGATAGTTGAGATGTTCTCATCTGCACAGTATAATTGCTGTGCTAGAGTTAAGGACGAATAACAAGAATTTTAATTCTTCACTTATTTCCTTTCATGGAGAAGCATGGAGACAACATTTTTTAAATCCATGGTGATTGACTCATAGTGAAACTGAACAGTGCTGCTTCCTATATTTGCAGTTATTTTGCTCTATCTTATACAAGTGAGGCTGCGTAGGAGCTGTGGCGTACAGACATTTATCATAGATGGTGAACATTGCCACATCATGATCTGAATAGCACATTGTGTAATACCTGCTATAGACAAAAACTGAGCTATTGCTGGTCCTGAGAAGTTGACTTATGCAGGAAGACTGAGAAGTCCAAATAAATGGCAGACACCACAAATAATTAGCAAAATGAAGTCATTTGAAGCACTTTCAGAAAATGGTTCAGACTCTTTGATGACATAACTTCTTTGGCACTGGTGGAATTACAGATGCAAAAATTTGACCTTTGAGATAGATATATATATATATATAGATAGATAGATATATATATATATATATGACAACCAGCATTGAAATATCTGCTGTGCTTCCTTTGCTATGGTATGACATGTCAAATAGACCACAGGGCCATGATTTTGGCATTTGTCATATATAATTGTACTTTGCAATTTCTTTAAGTAACAGTTTCAAAAAGTAATGAATGAATAAAATGCAGGAGTGCTCACCTGGTTTTGAAGGTAGAACAACTTTTTCATGTCTGACTGCTTCATGCTCTAGATAAAAGAAACAGCATAATAAAATTCCCATAATGTTTCTATTACTGTTTGTATGCCTTTTATTCTTTTCCTTTTTTTTTTTTTCAACTAAGAAAGATTGCATGTCTATATTTCAGGAATAAACATTCATTTTCTCTTGGTTCATTCTGTTATTTTGTGAAAAGGACACGTTCTAGTTACCAATAGATTATCAGCTGAGTGATCTGCCACAAAATAATAAAGTTCAGTAGTGCTGCACATAGCTCCACACATACAGCAACTACTAATATTAGTAAGAGTTATGCATGTATCTTAAGGAAGAAGTCAGTTAATAGGGGCTCCCCTTAAATTCTGAAATGTAATTTATAGCTACTCTCTTTTTTTGTTATATGAAAGAAGAGTACAGAGTAAACTGAGCTACCATCCACTCGACCTTTATGTTGCTGATTCAGACGTACTTGAGCTGAATTCTCAAAGTCTCGAACACACCCTATTCCATATGAATAAATTATTCCATATGAATAAATGGAAAATTAGAGAACTAACAGTGCTTGGTAGGCAGTACCCCTCTCTCTGTCACCCCCTTTCTATTTCATAATTATTGCTGAAAAAATATGAATTTATGTTAGGTTGCTGTAAATGGAACAGATGAAGAAGCTTCGTTTTACAAGCAAAGTCTAGCACTACATAATTTATACGAAAGTCATAGATGCTTAAAAGGAATTGAAAAAAACTTCACCACAGATTTTGTATTATAGTAGCAGTTATGCCAAATGAAGGCAAATAAGGGCCACTGTTACATTTTAGAGCTAAGAAACCAACAGACAGCTGTAATGGCCTTGTTTCCAGGTGATGTTTCCCCCAGCTAAAAATACTGTTCATCAGTTCCTTTTTGAGCAACAAAGACGTAAAGGTGGGCTGTAAAGTGGAAAATGTTGAAAATGTGTGTAGCCTCTGAAAAAAGGGCAGTATGCCTCAGCCCTTGTGCTACTTGGATGAATAATTGAAGTCCTAGCAACTGTGATTTCAGGTGAAGATATATGCCAGAAAATGCTGAGATGAAGACATGATAGGAAATTTCAAATGGGAAACAGTTCTGTGAGGTGTGAATTAAAATTTATGTCAGTGAACAGCAATATTTTTCCCATATTTGGGCTTTTTTTTGAGCATGGCAGCATTTGAGTACTTAACTGAACACCTTTTTCTGCTTTTGCAGTTTACCTTCCATGCTGAAGATATGAAAGATATAGCAAGTTAACAAGTAAGCTGCATGGCAAATTGATGTATGGACTCTTCAGTTCTTTTTGACTGAGAAAAGCTCTAGACAGCTATACTAAAATAATATATGATTAGGAAGAAAATGTGGTGATTTTTTCTTCTCTTTTTAATTCAGCAAGAGTATTTATTAATCCAAGTAGTTGTTAACGATGATTTTTACAAAGCTTGTCATTCCCGATTTAGTATTTTTTGTTGATACTTGTGGTATGGGAAGCAAAGAATGAGTTTACTCCTATACTGAAGTAATTGGTTATGTCAAATGAACTTTGGCAAGACAGTATGTTAAAAGACAAGACAGAATGTTAAATGAAAGTAATGAAAAGCATGGTGATAAAGACACTATAATTTTAAGCAAAACTAGAAATTGCTAAGACCGAGTTTCCATATGCTAAAGTCAAAAAAGGCATACATATCCATCTATTTTACAGGATTTTTTCTGATGAAGGTAGGTACCACGTACTTGCTGGTTTTGCCTGGACTGCAGAAGACAAAAGAAAGTAAAATGTAATATTTAGATATAAAGAGAAAAGAGATTCTAATTTTTCTTTTTAACGTGCAAATATTTTTATGACAGTCAGTTCTCACTTGCTCTTATCTTCCCCCACTCATGTAAAGATGCACAGCATTTGGGCCCCTCAAATGTAGGTAGACTCTAACATGTTTAGACCTTTGCAACTCCCCCTGGCTAGCTATCAGCTTCTGCTGAAACAATGCAGTATTTGGTCATTTAACACAGCAGCACGTTTACATATTCCAGGACCATTTCTCCCTGTTCAACAGTGTAAATCAGAAGTAGCTCCAGACCAGTCAACAGATTACTGGAAATTTTGGATGGGATTCAACTGATTTGCAACATCAAGAACACATTTGTATACAGCTTTAGTCAGGAGAACACTAGTCCTCTCCAGAGGCTAATCTGTGTACTTATAACTGTTTGTTGAAAAAAGATGGGATGACTTACCCACTGTTGGAAGTTGCCTGTTGCAAGCTCAACAGCTATTGATCTGAAAACTTACACATTATTTCTGTAGTAGCTTATGTTAAATTGGCCTACCCGAAATACTGCATTTTCAATTTGGTTCCGACAAACAGGAAAAAGATTTATCAAGCACATGACTCTAACAAATCTTACAAAAAGTGGTCAAGCCATAATACTTTAGGCAACTTTTTTCCAACCACTGCTGAATTACTGTTTGAGCCTTCTGATTTTGCTCACAAACTTAAAGTGGAAGTTAGCTGACCCTAAAAAAAAATTGTAAATTTAGGTGTAAAAATCATGTAAATTCAAAGATGTTGAATGCTAACTCATTACATGTTTGGGTTAGAAATATATTGAAATAGTTTTCAGTAATTTCTCCACTTCTATTAACAGAAACATAATTTATATGCTTTTGAACAAGCCATAGCACTTTATGATCCAATATGAACTATGAAAACAGATTTTTTTATTGGATAAACAGAGTGCTGTAAAATATCACTTCATAGTGAAATGCTAGATTATCATGAGAGGTCTTACAGAAAGCAGTATAAACAGGCAAATTATATGAATGTTCACAATTAGAGACAGAACCATAATATTCTGTTCAACATCTATTCTGTTACCGCAAAGAAGACATATACAAAATAAGAATAAAAATTATGTAGTAACTGGCTGTCCTGGGTTCAGCAGTAGCAGTCATTTTTTCCCCTTCTTGGTAGCTGGTGCAGCATTGTGTTTTGACTTTCGGCCTGGGAACAGAGCTGTTTACACTGATGTTTTAGTCTGACCAAGGACTTTGTGAGCCTCATGCTCTGCTGGGGAAGGGGGGAAGCCAGGAGGAAGCAAAGACAGGACACCTGACCCAAACTGACCAAAGAGGTATTCCATATCACAGCACGTCATGCCCAGGAGGTAACTGAGAGTTACCTGGAAGGGGCTAGGACTGCAGGGTGGGATGAGGTATCAGTCGGTGCTTGGTCGGGCTGGGGGGCGAGTTATCGGTTGGCTGGTGGTGAGGTGTTGTATTCTCTTCCCTTGTTATTTCCTTTATCATTATTATCATTGGTGGTAGCAGTAGTGATCTGTGTTATACCTTAGTTACTAAACTGTTCTCATCTCAACCTGTGGGAGTTTCATTCTTTTTGATTCTCCCCTCTGTCCCTCCGGGAGTAGGGGGAGGGAAGGAAGAGGGGGAGTGAGTGAACGAGCTGCCTGACTGGGTTTAAACCACGACACTGGCACCTTTCAGCTTTAAACAAAACTATTTTCACTATTTTAGTGAAAATATTCATCATCATCATCATCATCCTCATATCAAATGAAAAGCTGTTGGCCTCATTGTCCAGGATTTAGCAATCTTTCATTTTGTTTGGATTGAGGTTACCTCCAGTAATAATCAAGAGGTAGGTATCTAGAAAGGTACTTCAAAACAGCTTTTTATTGACTGTCAATGATGATGAGAATGTTCTAATCCCTTGGATGACCCTTCAGGTCTTCTGTAACAGTCATTATTATTTGAATTTTTTTCTGCCAGCATTATTATTACAAAACCTACAAGGTCTAAGTCATAGAAAAGACCTAGAAACTTAAGGATTAGTTCCAAAAATATTTTCAAGATCATAAAGCCAATTTAAGATACATCCAAGTTCTTAATCTAACTGGTGACTCATCCTCCTGCATTACCCCTTACTTGGGCATTGGTCTTTGTGCTAAAAATTAAGTCTCTTGAAAGATCTGATCTTACAAGGGTACATGGGATCATTTCAGGGATCTGATTTACAGCTACACCCCACTTCATTAGCCAACTCTGGTAGAGAGGCTGGAACAAACAGCCCAAATGTCTTGACTTTGTTGGTCAATGAAAAGACTGGTTCTTAGAATGTTACCTACAATTGTCACTGCTGAATTAGCTCTAAAAAAGTGCTAAGTCAGATATTTCAAAATACTGTAAAAAATGATTGCAGTGCAAATGTACTACATTAGATGAGTGCTAAATAGTGTTTAATATCCCTCCCTTTCCCCCTTCCCATCCATAAATCAGCAGAGAATCACTTCTTCTTACCTGACTTCTCACCGGGAGTTGTCTTTTGTTTAATTTTCTCCTCTGCATTTTGAAAGCAGCATTACAATTAGAAATTCACACTGTATTAGCATATACTGGAAAAATATCTCTATACATATATGTATATATTATACAAATGGTTTACAATGACAAAATAAATGGATGTATTTAGCATCACTATCCCACCATAGCACTATGAAACAGCATGTGTGACTTCTAACTGAATGGTGATATCATACTGCATGTAAAAAATAAATCACTAGGCCTAATGTCTCAGCCTCCAGAAAAGAGCCACATGCCTGGCAGTGTGTTTCAGGCAGGCACTCAGGTAAAAAACATGCTAATAATATCACTATTATAACTTTGTGAACATCACCTTCCTAGGTGTCTAAGTTCAACAGTTTGGTATTATACGACACTGAGAACTTCTGCTTAGATACTAACCACAAATATGAATGGAAATACCTACATATGTCTATGCTCTGAAGATGAGAGAGGTATGGAGACCTCCAAGCATATGCTAACTCACAGAGGCACATCCACATGGGAGAGTGTCAGTCTGAATGTGAGTTCATACCACCTGCCAATGGACAAGCTTACCAACACCCAACTGGTTATCTGTCACAAAATATTAGAGCAGCCCTAAACTGCTGCTAATCTCATGAGAAAAGCTGCCCAAGTTCATGTACTCTTGGGCTGCATTTGGCTGTACTCAGCACAGTTCTCTGATAACATGGACCCATGTTGACATCAGCCACAGTACCTGAGCTGCCTCTCCTCCAAGTAAGCTGGCGGATGAAATTTTGGGCAGAGACATAGGTTGGCCTACACTTTTTGATCAGTTGGGGTTTGTCTCTAATTGCCCAATGGCCCAGTGAGGTGGGAATTAGGATGGTTTTTTTTTTAGAATCTCTACTCTGCCCAGTTTAGCTGACTTGAACTTCACCCTTCCTAATACTTTCATATCTCTACTCACATTTTCTCTTTTCCCATACCTGACTTCAGAGTTCTCTCCTAAGCCCTACCTTTCACCATTCACATACATGAATACTTTTCTTCTAATTATGTTTAAGACATATTCAGAATGGTATTTCCCCTTCCTCTTGCTGAGGTAATCAATTTACAGCCATATGCCTCTGGCCCCTTCATTTTCCCCAAGTTGCCTCTGTGATGCATCAGATTGAATCTGACAATGCTTGGACGGAGGTTGTATCAGGCAAGGATGTCTTGTGCCCCAAAGCCATTCAATTCAGCTGAGTACTAGCTGGCTAGAAACCCTCCCAGGTTTGTGCATGCACAAAGCTGCTTGGCTCTTGAACACGAGCAATGTCTCCAGCCTGGCAGTCAAAATTGTTCTTAAATGCGATGAAGGAGATGAAGTAATGCAAAGGGGAGGGGTGGCTAAAATAACTTGTGAACTACCAGATCTCCGGTTTACTGTACATCTATACCCTCAAAAAGTCAACCTTAAGAACTGCTGTTTTTTTTTTTTTTTTGGGGGGGGGGTATTTCTCTGGAACCCAAATGTCCACATTTGACTGCTAAATCCTAATATGCACTCTGACTAAACACTTGGATAACACAGTATCTAGAACAGCAGGCTTCTGTGTGATCTCAAGATACCTGATGTTTTCTTTGAATTTAGCATGTAAGTTTCAGAGGATTGTTTTTCTGAGGGCAGAGAGAGCAGGTTTATCTACTTCTCTCTGCTGATTTCTTTTTAACTTGGCTCTCAGATTCTCAGAGGTGTGCACTTGCCAAAGAGGACCAAGACGACATTTGTCATACGTAAGTAGAGGGAGAAACAGTTTCGTTGTACAGGCCATTTTTCTCATCCTTAACACAGCAGCATCCAGCAAAACTACAATGCAAATATGGACATGAAAGATGCGGCAGTTGTGTTTTGGGGTTTGTTTGTTTGGTCTGGGGGTCTTTTATTTTTTTATGGAAGAAAATCAGCAGTGATGGAGGAACATATAGGGAGGGATAAAGCTCCATGGTTACTGAACTTTTCTATTCTTTGGAAATAAAATATAGCCTTGCATTACCATGCTTTTCAGTTGTCATCTAGTAAGTGGCAATTTAATTTCTCTTTGCTTGTATTAAGTTTAGGGATTTCTCCCCAATCCCGTTGTGCCCTCCTTACTCAGCTATTGTTATTGTCAGCTTCTTATGAAAGCAATGAATTAAAAAATCTTAAGTCCATTTCATGGCTGTCTGTGAAGGTAGAGTTTTTTTTATAGTAAAACCAACATCTGGAAGACACAACTTGTTGAGATGAAGTATCTTCTTTCTGCTCCTAGATGAGCTTTAGCATGTAACAGTGCATTTCACTAATTTAGATTTGGGCATTAAGTTTTCTACATGCCAGTCCACAAAAACCCTAAGCATGCTGACTTTAAACATAGCCCCTGTACCATCATAGAGTCATAGAATGGTTTGGGTTGGAAGGGACCTTAGAGGTCTTCCAGTTCCACCCTCCCCTGCCATGGCAGGGGCACCTTCCACTAAACCAGGTTGCTTAAAGCCCTGTCCAACCTGGCCTTGAACACTTTCAGGGATACTGCAGCCACAACTTCTCTGGGCAACCTGTTTCAATGCATCACCACACTCACGGTAAAGGATTTCTTCCTTAAATCCAATCTAAATCTACCCTCTTCAGTTTAAAGCCATTCCCCCTTCTCCTATCACTACATGCCCTTGTAAGAAGTCCCTCTGCAGATTTCCTGTAGGCCCCCTTTAGGTATTGGAAGACTGTTACGAGGTCTCCCTGGAACATTCTATTCTCCAGACTGAGCAATCCCAGCTCCCTCAGCCTGTCTCCACAGGAGAGGTGCTTCAGCCCTCTGATCATCTTCATGAAACTCCTCTGGACTGGCTCCAACAGGTGCATATCCTACTCGTGTTGGGGGGCCCCAGAGCTGAATGCGGTACTGTACCTTTGCTGAAATCTGCTGTGTTAATCCATTGGATTAATGACAAGTAAAGTGCTAAATGTTTGGAGCTTCTCTTTCTTTGGATATTCTTTCTGCTCTTTTCAACACTAAATGAGATATTCTTTCTTTTCTAATTCTGGTGATAATTCACAGCAGTGTTTGCTCTGTAACTCTAGGAGTCAATCAAATAAGTCTCTGAGTAGATGGCATGTCTGATCCATTTAAAAGTAAGGGAGGAATTTCTTTTCAAACTTAATTCACACATGAAAGCAGAATGTCTTGGACAGGCTAAGGAATTTGCATTCATCTGAGAATAAATACAGTAATTCTCTGGTATTTATCACCTACCTATTCTGAAATCTACCCACACAGCAAGTATTGATCTGCTGATTGTATGGGAGAACACCCTGATGCATTTCCTATGGCTTTTTCTCTGAGTTTCTAGGATAATACATAGTACTTTGGCAAAAATATAAGTAATATTTCCCATTTCTCATGTACTTTTAATTTACTATACCATGAGGAGTCTGGCAAAAAGAAAAACTAAACAAGACACATCCCCCACCAACTGACGACCTCAAATGTTACAAAAAGTCCAAAATATTTTTTTGTGAATATTTCAGAAAAATTCAAATTTTGTTCTTATTTTGGATAAGCCCAAAGTTGAAAGTTTTGAAATTTTTCATTGGAGGGAATTCTGTCCTCTGCAGAGCTCCAGTTTTGCAGCACTGGAAGCATTAATATTAATTTTTTCTCTGATGTATGTAATTTAAATGGAAAAATACAAAGCTGTAAACGTTTCTGTATATTTCAGGCAGTTTCAGAGAAATGACATAAGGAATAAATTCTCCTGCTTTTCTTGCTCTCACACACATACACAAAACACACTTTAAACATTTCCCTCCAGGATCAATATATTTTCTGAAGTTCTCTGGTTTCTCAGTCATGTGATACACCTAAGTCTTCTGATAGGAGGCATAGGAATAATAATTTGAAGCTGACCTGAATCAAGGTGAAAAAGGAGACCACTGCTTTGTACAGAAGGAGGCTTTTATAATTCAGTCTGCTACCTCAAGAGCACTCATTGACACAGAGCAGGCAGAAGCACTGATACCACCGGTGCTTGCAGGTTAATACTTCCAGTCATCAACTAAAACTCAAAACAGCCACTGCTCTCCAAAACAACCATTAATCACCTCGGAAGAGATTTTTTATGTTAAACGAAATTTAGGAAGATTTTTTCTTTTTCTTTTTTTTTTTTTTTTTTTTTAGGGCTTTAGTCTAGAATATACTGTGCTAAAGTAAGCTCCTAATCAGGCAAATGTAGTGGTTTGTGACATCATGCTCTGAGGTTTTCAAATGCCTTTCCAAGGAAATTTATTTTTATGCTGCTATCTGGATGAGATCAGGCTGATTGTGCAGGAGCACTGATTTCATTTTGCAGGAAAGGTGAGTGATCATGCCATCTGCCCAGGCAACCCACATTTTGGTCAACACTGACCCCTCCCAGGTGTCACTGAGCTGGAAAGGAGGGCTTCCTTGCCAGGACATTCCTGCCTTGTCTGAGCCCACCTGCACCTAACTGCTGGCTGATGATCTCTGCTAGATGTTAATACATAAAAAGTGAACAATGAGACAAAAAAAAACCAAAGAACAAACCCAAAAGCTTGGCCTATGTGTCGTTGAAGGTTAGAGTGAGAAACACTGGTTTTTTCCTCTGTTGTCTCAAACCCAGTAATACAACTTTATTAATCAGCTGCTCAAGGCTTGCAGGAAACCTCAAAATGTCTATGGAAATATTTAACTTACAAATAGAATATTGTATTATAATAACAAAGAAGAAAAATAGTAAATATGTAGGAGAAATTGTTTTCTTAAAAACAAAATAAGAAAAAGCATAATAAAAAAAATAAAGCCTGCCTGCTTCTCATTGAACACATAAAGTTTTAAGTGGTTTATCCAATCACTTATTCATGAGCTGCTCATTTGTATGTGAAGTTCAAAGAGCAGCACTTCCAACAAAGGTTGACAGGAGGCTGATACTTGCTTTTCAGTGCTCCCTGTGTCTGATAAGACTCTTCAGGAGCAATGTAAGTGGAGGACCAAAACCCATGATTTCTGTGAAGTTATTCTCTTAGTTTTGTTTCTTCACGCCAGACCCAGCCGTGGATCTCTGGGTGCCTTCCTCCTCAAAAAGCATGATGAGGCACAAAGCCCTGGTTCGAAAGGCAGACCCCGTCCTGCTCACCACAGCCAGTTGTTGCTTGTTATTACTTACAGTTTACAAAAATGCATAGCCAGCCCAGGATTAGCTTTGTGTGGGTTGTTTGTTAATTTGTTTCTGTTTGGTTTTTGTTTGTTTGTTTTCATTATTCAGCTTCTGCTCCTAGAGTCAGAAAATGGAGGTTGCCTCTGTTCAGTCTATCATGAACCCAGTGAGACTGTAGCTCCTCCTTTTTAGGGAGGCACACTTCATGTAATAACTGGTTACTCCTCTTTGATATACTGAAGGGCAGTAGAGAACTTGTTCCCCAAACTCTGGAAATCAGGTTTTGCTAACGCTTTATAAGCCATACTACAACAGTGAGAGAGAGTCACAGGAACTGTGGAAAAACTGTGAAAGCTTAATCCTTCTCGTTAAAATTCACCCATATTTTTGTTCTTCTCCCAAACTCTGAGAAAACCAATGACACAAAGCAAAAACAAGTGTCTAGCTCAGAGGAGTTCTCCAAGCTTCGTAAGCACCACATATCCTTATTGAGTGGAGCCTGGAGTAACTAGAAATTAAATTACCAAACCCACCTGGCTTAGTCTGAGATGAGTCAGCTTTTTCATGTTTAACACGATCATGCTCTGCAAATAAGAAAAAAACCCTACATTAGAAAGCTTTTAAGTTTTTAGATTTTAAAAATAAAAGATTCCTATTATGATTTTTAAATATGACTTTGCATTACATACTCACACCAGACTTCAGAAGAATTTTTTATAAATATCTTCTTTGAGTAAACATATTTAATTATTTTTCCCCTAAGAAAATGAAAAATAATGCCAAAGAATTCTTTTTAGTTTTTAATGTGGTTTAAGAGATCACAAAATTCCATTTTTTTTTTTAAATATCATAAGGTTCCTAAAATTGTGAAAAACTTCTACTAATTTTGATTGCTATCACATATACAAAATTTGTCCTGGTGATTAATATAGACATCATAAAAGCATTTTACTACAACAGAAGTGGGGTTGTTTCATACAGACAAATAAAGGTTCAGTATACTGTATACATAAAAAATGTTCAGTATACAGTATACATAAAAAAAAGGAATTTTCCATGTTTCTCTGTTAGCCTGGATCCCACAGACATATTGTGAGGCAGTGACAATAATAAATATTATACTGTACTAAATATAAGCTGTATGCAACTTTCTGCTATTTAAAAACAGTGTGATATCCAAGCCTCAACATTATGAGACAGAATAAAACAAGGTTATGGCATTTCAGAGGAATGTTAAAAATATATTTAATTCTCATTTATTGCAGCTATGTCTAAATTGTGTAGCAGGTTACAGATGCAGCATACCAAGAGATAAATCTCTCTGTTTCTTAGATTGGGGTCCTAGCCAGGGAATTGCACAGGCCCTTCCTTTTCTTTGTGCCCCTTGATTTTTTTTCCAGTACAAAGCTGCCATGGAGTCAGGGAGCACAGGTAGGTCCTATCTCAGCCCAAAAAGGAAAATAGTTTCCATGTAAACTGAGTCCTGTGAAACACACCTGGTCCTGCAATACAGAGAGAGTCTTTTCAAACCAAGTCAGCATTTCCTGTGAGCTTGTGTTGATGAATCCCCTCTTAAGCTGCAAAAACTTTAACAACATAAATATCTCCTAAAAGCTCAAATGACAATGTTCTTTATCAACTTGATACTTACTGTGTTCGTGAGGTTTCTCTAAGGTCGCTAGAATTAAACAAAAGAGGTTTATTTTAATATTTATTTGTATGCCTGTAATGCAGGATTTAATGCTTTTTTTAAATTACATGTGTAGTTACATAAATGGCCAGTGAAAAAGGTTCCCAGAAAAAAAACCCACGTGAGATAAAAGTGAAAAATGAGCTAATGCTTTCCATGGACCTTAAGAGAACATTTTTCAGGTAAAGTGAGAGCTCAGGGAGTTGTACCCAATGCCATTTTTGATTCTACAGAAGGAAGTGAAATGCTGAGACCTAGCCCACCAGCTGGATTTTTCTTCTTGGCTTTTGCAAGGCAGCTGTTATTTTTAAGAAAATAAAGGCTCTCCCAGCTGCGTGTAGTGTGTGAAAGAGCATCATCCCACAGAGAGGTGCAGCAGTGCAGTGGATGAGCTGCCTTTGCAGGCCCGGCAACACAAGCAATAATTTTGCTGCTTTGAGCTCCTGGGCTCTGAATCACTGAGCTCTCGAGCTTCCACTCGGGGCAAAAAGTAACTGCTGTGCAAGAGGGTTTTTGTTTTGCTTGTTTTCCCTGCGGTATAAAACTGCTTCAATTTTATATCCAGCCTCTGTTTAATCCAAGTTGTTACTGAGCCCTTAAGGAGACAGCAACCGGAGATGGTGTGCAGAGCAAAGCAAAAACAACAAAACTTTTCTGGGGGTAATAGAGACTATAAACACAAATTAAGTGTATCTTCTTGTTCCTAAGTATAAAATCAGAAATAAGAAACAGCAGAAAAATAGGGATCCTATGACAAAGTTATATTTGTTATCTTTATATGTGTAATAAAACTTTTTTGTAAATTTAGGCTCACTTGTTTTGTCTAAACAACCTGAAACCTACAAAAAATATTTCCCTAAACATCTTAAACTTAGGTAAATTCTGTTGTAATTTAGTATCCATGAAATATCTCTGAAATTTGTAAAGGAAAATAGTTTTGTATTGTCTTAAAACACATAACAATATATGCTCATCTAGCTATAAATTTCATTTAGTAAAAGGAAATTCATGGCAAATATATGTAAAAAAACCCCAAACAGAACGTCAGGGGCTGATATAGTGACTTACATAGCTACCACAGAATATGAGTCACATAAGACTTTCAGTGGCCACCAAAAATGATCATAGCTTGGCCACATGTGAACAATATTAAAGAGTCTTTACTGTCACTGCTTGACGAATTTTACAAACAAGCTTTTGTTACACCATCCTTATGTCATATATGCATTTTGTTTTAAAACACTAAAATCAAATCACAGCCATTACACGTGAACTTTCTAGTGAACCCACTGCAGATATTTCCTTTTTTCTGCTGGTGAATATGAGTCACAGAAGAATGTTTAAAACTATAGAAACTCAACCCATGTCTGGCCTCACAAGTTCAGGAAGCTATTTGTGTTGCCCTTTTCCATATTTTTTATGGAGGTATTAATTAGCCAAAGTTGTATAGTGTCAGTATCCAGACAGAGCCTGAACACTGAGATCATAGCTATCAGCAGTTTCCTAAAAGCCTAACCCTCTTTTTTTTCTTGTGTACCACTCAGAGATATTGCTGCTGCATATCTTAATGAAATAATGAAAATCTAAAATAAAAAGGTTTTGCTGGATAAGTTGGCTGTTCTAAAACATATCTAAATTTTATTGAAAAAAAAAAACAAACCCAAAACATAACAAAGTGAAATTTTGAGATGGTCTTTAGGCTGTAAAGATAGACATCTGCATTATGACAAATCTGCTAATTATGATTTCCGTCCATTCACTATTAATCATATCCTTCTTATGTGTTGTATTATCTCATCAAGATCATAGAATCATAGAATCATAGAATAGTTAGGGTTGGAAAGGACCTTAAGATCATGTAGTTCCAACCACCCTGCCATGGGCAGGGACACCTCACACTAAACCATAGCACCCAAGGCCTCATCCAACCTGGTCTTGAACACTGCCAGGGATGGAGCATTCACAACTTCCCTGGGCAACCCATTCCAGTGCCTCACCACCCTAACAGGAAAGAATTTCCTCCTTATATCCAATCTAAACTTCCCCTGTTTAAGTTTTAACCCATTACCCCTTGTCCTATCACTACAGTCTCTAATGAAGAGTTCATCCCCAGCATCCCTATAGGCCCCCTTCAGATACTGGAAGGCTGCTATGAGGTCTCCACGCAGCCTTCTCTTCTCCAGGCTGAACAGCCCCAACTTCCTCAGCCTGTCTTCATACAGGAGGTGCTCCAGTCCCCTGATCATCCTCATGGCCCTTCTCTGGACTTGTTCCAACAGTTCCATGTCCTTTTTATGTTGAGGACACCAGAACTGCACACAATACTCCAGGTTGGGTCTCATAAGAGCAGAGTAAAGGGGAGGGATCACCTCCTTCGAGCTGCTGGTCACGCTCCTTTTGATGCAGCCCAGGATACGGTTGGCTTTCTGGGCTGCAAGCACACACTGCTGGCTCATGTTCATTTTCTCATCAATCAAAACCTCCAAGTCCTTCTCCGCAGGGCTGCTCTGAATCTCTTCTCTACCCAACCTGTAGCTGTGCCTGGGATTGCCCGACCCAGGTGCAGGACCTTGCACTTGGCATGGTTAAACTTCATGAGGCTGGCATCAGCCCACCTCACAAGCGTGTCGAGGTCCCTCTGGATGGCATTCCTTCCCTCCAGTGTACCAACCGAACCACACAGCTTGGTGTCATCAGCAAACTTGCTGAGGGAGCACTCAATCCCACTGTCCATGTCAGCGACGAAGATGTTAAACAAGACTGGTCCCAACACTGATCCCTGAGGGACACCACTCGTTACTGGTCTCCAGCTGGACAATGAGCCTGTGACTGCAATTCTTTTCATGTGTGAATTTTTTATTCACCAAGTAGTCCATCCATCAAGTTGATGTCTCTCCAGTTTAGAGACAAGGACATTGTGCGGGACAGCGTCCAATGCTTTGCGCAAGTCCAGGCAGTTGAAATCAGCTGCTTTGCCCCTATCCATCAGTTGTGTAGCCCCATCAGAGAAGGCCACCAATTTGGTTCAGGCATGATTTCCCCTTAGTGAAGCCATGTTGACTGTCATGAACCACCTCATTGTTTTCCATGTGCTTTACCATGCTTTCCAGGAGTACCTGCTCCAAGATTTTGCCAGGCACAGAGGTGAGACTGACTGCTCTGTAGGTCCCTGGGTCTTCCATTTTCCCTTCTTGAAAATGAGGGTTGTATTTCCCTTTTTCCAGTCGTCGGGAACTTCACCTGACTGCCATGATTTCCCAAATATGATGGACAGTGGCTTAGTACCTTTGTTCGCCAGCTCCTTCAGGACCCACGGATGGATTTCGTCAGGTCCCATGGACTTGTGCACATTCAGGTTCTTAAGATGGTCTCAAACCTGATCCTCTCCTACAGTGGGCCCAAGATCTTCATTCTCACAGTCCCTGCATCTGCCTTCCAAGACTCGATTGGTGTGGTAAGAGCACTTGCCGGTGAAGACTGAGGCAATGAAGTCATTCAGAACCTCAGCCTTCTCCAAATCCTGTGTAGCCAGTTCTCCCGAGAGCTTCCTGAGGGGGCCTACGTTCTTCCTAGTCTGTTTTTTATTTGCTATGTACCTGTAGAATCCCCTCCTGTTATCCTTAACATCCCTAGCCAAGTTTAATTCTAACTGGGCCTTAGCTTTCCTAACCTGGTCCCTAGCTTACCGCACAACATCCATGTACTCTTCCCAGGCCACCTCTCCTTGCTTCCACTTATTATAAGCCTCTTTTTTCATTTGAATTTTCCTCAGGGTGTTATTCAAATGGTGAATACAGTAAGATGAAAGCCAAAACCTGAAATTCCAAGACCATTAATTTCATTTTTACAGTATCACATATGTCTATAACAGTTACTCAGTTACAGGGAAGAAGATAGAAGCTAAGTATCAATGATGTAGTCAAACTTTCCAATATATTGAACCATATATTCAATATAGGTATTTAACCTAGAGGGTGAGGAATCAGAGGCTGCATTCTGCTGCTCTCAGTCATTTCATGTAGTATCCTCCACTGAAAGTAAAGCACGTCTATTCAAATTTTGAATTTAAATACTATTTCTTTTTACAGTGCCTAGATAATCCGTGACACATGCTTCAAAATGTGTGGATGTTGAAAATCTTAATGATTTTAAAAAGTGACTTGGCAAATTAAAGAAAAATTTACAAAGTGCCCTTAAACATGAAGATAATGTTTCTGGCTTAGGAAGTTCCTGACCTGAGGTCCTGGGAGGTTACAGTATGATCTCTGTGTGGCTGTTTTATTCCTGTACACTTCCCTAGACATTTGCTGGTTTGGCCATTGGCAGAGAGTGTGTTGGGTTAGATCATCTCTTGGTCTCACTGTTCTGATGTTACTAATTAACAGGACTAGCTGTTGGGTAAATAACTGTTTGTTCTTAACAATTGTTAGAAAATTCACTCCTAAGTACTTTATATTCATTTGTTCAACACTTAAACTATATTAGAGGAAGAAAAGGGTCAGGTTGGGATCTAATGAAACCAGATGGATGTTTGATGAAATACTTGAAACTACATCAAATCTGAGCTTGATCAATGAAATTATCTGGTTCTATCCTCAGCAAAATGTTTTCAAATTTCTTTTGTGTCAATCTAAATTAAACTCAATATCAGGGCTTGGTAGTTATCTTGCTGTTTTTCACATTCACTTCAAATTTTCTTTGACTCTTTCTTTGTGCCTGCTATGGAATCATAGAATCATAGAATAGTTAGGGTTGGAAAGGACCTTAAGATCATCTAGTTCCAACCTCCATGACATGGGCAGGGACAGCTCCCACTATACCATGTCACCAAACCATTATCAAAGATAGACAGCAACACCACAGTCACTGAAGTGAAACACCTGGATAACTGGTGAGGTTTATCACACCTGTTTGTGTGGAGCACGGTATCAAATATTGGTACACTAACCCGTACAGCTGTTTTCTCTATAAACTCTTTGACCTTACCA